GGCGGGTGGAGGGGGGGTGGGACGGGTCGGTAATGATTTCAAAATAAAACCCAAACAAACAAACAAGCTAAAGGCGCCGAGGATAACGATAATTACACACACAGCTCCATTCAGATCTGTGATTCAGATCTGTGATTCAGATCTGTGATTCAGGTCTGTGATTTTTAAATAGAGGAAATTCATTTGAGCCATCGCTTCCACGGAACAATTTTCAACATTCATCAGTTGTGGTTGAGTTCTGTCTTTACATCTTTACTTTCCTATTTGCATTGCCTTTGTTTTAACCAAACTTAAAAGAGTCATCTTTTTATTGATTTATGTTTTAATTTTTCTATTAAACTCTGTAACCATTTATCCATCCATCCATCCATTTTCATCCGCTTATCCGTTACCGGGTCGCGGGGGCAGCAGTCGCCACCCAAATCACATTGCACCGTACCAAACCTTCCTGCGGGTGGTGAGTCCACTGGAAGGTACCAACCGCCCTAACCGGGATTTGAACTTGCCCAGGAGGTGAACCCTGGAGTTCCACACCAATGACAGAGACATTGCCTCTGGGCCAAAGCGCCACCTGTAACCATTTAAAATTAGATTTTATTTTACATTTACTTTCGTTATTATATCTTTTCTGGTCTGCAAAACCTAAAACTTTTATGGACTAAACTGTCGCTTTAAGACAACGATGTAGCATTAGGCTAATGCTAATTCCTGTTCATCTATATCCTGTAGAAAAGCTTAAACCCTGTTGTTTACAACAACTAAATACACATCAACATTGTGTTAGAGCAGACGACTACTTCTTGTGGTAAATAAATTAGCCGATAGATCACAGATCAGAACAACGTTAGCTTGTAGTGTAGCTTCACGATACGTACATTTAGCCTCAAATAAGCCAAAATAACAAAATAAAAAAATGTCCTTGGCTACAAATGGTAAATTTAGCAGAAAATGCAATGCGTCATTGAATTAACACCAATTTTAGTGAATTTTAGTCGATCAAAAAAACAGATCTTTAGCATCAAAAGAAGTTATTGATTCACGCAGTTGTTGTTTTCTGCCATCTGTCCGTCATTGTTGATCATCACATTGTTGATCATCACATTATTTTTTTTTAATTTAATAATTAATGGGAAAACATTTATACACAATATGAAGGGAACAAATTGGTGACAAACATTAGGACTGCGCCCCCTTTGGTGGTCGTGGAGTTGGCGTTTTTTCTGAGAACATTCCTGTATGTTGATCTACAGTATGACTCCCTCTTGTGTCCAGGCGGTGTTCCTGCGGACGTTTCCTGCGGTTTACAACGAACTGCTGAAAATCTTCACCGTCCGAGAGGTGGCCGGGTTTGTCAGGGAGATGCTGGGCAGCCTGCCCACCACTGTGCACGCTGACTGCCCCCTGGAGGCCGTCAAACTGCAGTGCATTGCCAAAACGGTGGAATGCCAGCTTTACATTAACCCAGGTAGATATATATATATATATATGTGTGTGCAAATACTACAATAAACTACACACCTACAGAGGGCTTGTGGATACTTTGAAGTACTTGTAGATGCACAGCGACAGTTGAGGCATGGGGATGGCAAAATATTTTTTTTTTTTAAATTAATTCATTAAAATGTGTTTGCTCTTACAAACAGACCATTAGCTGTTCACGTATTCTACTGATGTGCCTTCATTTAGGCTAATCGTCACCCCACAGTTGAGCAATCTTCATGTTGCTAAATTGCTTCTAATAAGGTCTGTGCACCCGCACCGCCACAAATTGTTGTTGTTTGCTTTGTTTTCACCCGGGCTCCCAGGCTAAAGACCGCATGTCGTGAGACTAATGTCTCTGGCAAAACATGTTTTGATGCAAAGGACAGATTGGACACGTTAGAACCCGAGGCAACGGAGGTAAAAACCAAACTCGTTAGAATCCGAGGCAACGGAGGTAAAAACCAAACTGCGTCTCATCTCTTTTTTTTCCCTGCGTCTGCGTTGCAGAATCCCGGTGCATCCTGTTGCCGGTCATCCTGCGTGTCCTGCAGGCCCACATGCAGGAGCAGAGAGACCAGGTCATGTGCGCCCGCATTCTCACCAGCATGTTGTCCCTCATTAAGAAGGAGGAGAACGGCACGCCTGTAAGTATTCACAGCAGATCACCTGCATGTCTGGGCCTTTTAAAGGGAAATTATACAGTATGTTTTGGCAGTGACTCAGATAAGCAGATTAAAACAGCTTAAAGGGGGAGGAGGGGAGGAGAGGAGGAGGGAAGAGGGGGAGGGGTCCTTTCAGCTTTCACAAAAACATAAAAAAACAGAGCAAAGCAGTAATCCTGCTTTTCTCCATCATTTAATAAGTCCAAAGTCCTTGCAGCGCCACCTTCAGTGCTTGACTAATTAACCGGCGTATCTCAGGCACACACAGAAATGAAGTGCATATCAATTCTGTCTGACTCTGAGCTAGAAAGTAATGAAGTGCTGGTTCCCAGGAGTTACAAAAAAAAAAAAAAAGGGACGTGTTTAAATGTTGTACCAACTGTGTTTACACCAGGAGTGGATTGAGTTCTTCAGCCGCAAAACAAACTTTCGAGGAAGTTCGAGGATGTTTTTTTTTTTCTTTTTTTCCCCTAAAGCAGTATTTCCCTGTCAGTGTTTGGCAATGACAGATTGTTCTGTTGCACGTGGACAGTCAATGAGTTCTGGTACCAGGGACACTGGCCTGCCGTGCCAATGTGTAATGAGACTCATCAATTTAGTCGGGCTATTGTTAAAGATGGCAGTCAGCCTGGATCTGGGCGTGATGTGTGTGGCTGTTCATGCGTTGAAAATGAAGTGAGTGTAAGTTCAGTTAGTGTCACCAGATGGCGATAGACTTCAAAATGTGCCACCTTTTCTTTGAAGGTTTAGTTTTACACGTTGTATTTATTTCACCCAAACATTGATTTAACGGCCGCCGGTCAAATCTTGACCCTCATTTTTACCCACCTGGTCATAAGTCACAAAAACCAGACTGTGTGTGTGTATACGTGTGTGTGTGTGTGTGTCTGGCAGCAGCAGCAGCATGGGAATCCTCGCTTGCACTGTGCACACACACACACACACACAGACACACACAGTGTGAGTGGCACCACACGTAAAGGAAACTGACAGCAGCAGCAGCCATTGTGCCAGTCTGAAGCTCCTTCTCATTATCGCTCTGTCCAAGACCTGCCTGTCTTGGCAGCAGTGCAGACTGGAAGACACACACACACACACACACAGACACAGACACAAACTAGTTCATCCTTGGCTCTCCTTCACTCCTTGCTTTTAACCTTTATTTGCTGCTTCCTCTTTGCGTCCTTGTGACACCGACTGTCAATCTTGATTCAACGCTACCGTTTAAATAATATTCAAATGAGTCGAGTTCTGTGCAAAAAAAAATCACTTTTTTTTAGGGGGGGGGGGCATGGCTGGAATCACACCGATCACTGTGACGTGTTGGATTAGCATCAGAGTTTCTCTCTCCTCTTCTTTTGTAAAGTGTTTTTCATTGGGTACTTCTGTGTGTGTGTGTTTTCTCTCCGCGCTGCAGGAGCCCGTGGTGTCAGAGGAGGTGGAGCTCATCGTGGAGAGCCTGCTGGGAGTTCTCCTGAGGACCATCCTGGAGATTAGCAACCGGCCCCCGTCCACTGGGCCGTCCATGAGACTTCAGTACCAGGACGTCACCGTACGTGCGCTGCTGTGACAGTGTCAACACGGACACTGTGTCTCCGTCTCTGTCTCCGTCTGCATCAGTGTGTAAATTGTTTTGGGACCAGGCAAAAATGAACATGAGTAATTAAGGTTTTTTTTTTTTTTTTTTTTTAATTGAGCTGCTGCTCCTGTAGTGATTATAATTTCACTGACATTATTAACATTAATTGCAACAGTAATGATGTTTAATGCAACGCAGCGTGGGAGGCGAGGGGTTAATGATGAGATCAGCGCCGTGATCAGTGTGTGGTGATTAAGACCCAACGAGGGGTAAATGTCCCACATGTACCAAACCTCCTCTCATGCCTTTGTACAGCTGATGTTTCCGACAAAGATTTTTGATATAGATTCAAGGAAATAATTCTTTACCCTAGAATTATTTCCACAATTGTTTTTTTTTTCTTTCTGTGATGCCATACATCCATTTGTTTGTCCTGGTCCCACTGCAGCGTCTCCACTCCGTCTGCTTTCAGTTTAAATCTATTTCGACACATTCAGAAAATTATTTTTTGGAAACGGTTTCTAAGCACAAATTATGACAAACTTTTTCTTTTTTTTTTCTTCATGCCAGGGAGAGTTTGTGGCTTGTTTGTTGGCACTGCTGCGACAGATGAGTGACAGACACTACCAGCAGCTGCTGCAGGGATTCAGCAACAAAGACGACCTGAGGGTGAGACCTCCACCCACACCTGTCTCTCTCTCTCCCTCTCTCCCCTGAGAGTGGTGCAGTTTCCACACTTTCAAGTGAATTAAAATGCAAATAAAAAAAGTAAACTTCCACTCCATGTGGTACGTTTTTACCGTTTCTCTCCTCCTCGGCTACTTTATCTGAGTTTAACTGCTTTTTTGTGCAGTAGTCACGGAGTTGGAGAACATTTTAAATATTTAGTCATTCAGTTTATATTCAGTTCATAGCGTTCGTACACCCACTGAAAACACAAGAAAGAGTCTGTAATAATTTACCAATAATTTGCGTTCTAATGTTGGAGGACTTCGAGTTCCAACGATGTCTGAATTGTGTCGTCTCTGAAAACAAAACAAAAAAGTCTTTCAAAGTTTCAGAGTAACTTTATTTTAACTTCACATAATTTACATTTGTATTATTATATTATTAATCTTTATTTTAGAGTTTCAGCGTAACTTTATTTTAACACATAATTTAAAGTTTTATTATTATATTATTAATCTTTATTTTATGCCATTTTACACCAAACTCTTTATTTCTAAACACGTCTGGTTTTGTGTGTAGACACAGAAGTCCTACTCAGATTCATAGTTCAAGTCCTCACATACGACACAGCTGCTGTAAATGTCATCCACAAGAGTCGAAGACTTTTCAGCACCACGGAGAGAGGAAGTGCAGTTCCCAGAGTTTGTTCTGCTTCGTTTGTTCCAGGACTTCCTTCTTCAGATCTTCACTGTCTTCAGGATCCTGATTCGACCAGAAATGTTTCCCAAAGACTGGACTGTGATGCGGTTGGTCACCAACAAGTAAGATCACACACAGGAAGGAAGGCGGGGAGGGAGGGAGGAACACACAGAGGAGGGAATATGGAACGAAGAAAATCAATACAATCAATCCAACCAGGGACTGCTGTGTGTTTCGTCTGCAGAGCAAAGAGTTGTTATTATTCTTTTTAAAAGCACATTGTTCAAGGTGATATCTGTCTATAGTCCTGGCAGTGTAGCTTTCTACACCGTTCAAGGAAACAGCACATAGTTACACAAACACTTTCTAGAAGCACGCAAAAAAATAATGTAGTGGTCGCAGTGAAAATAAGAGTAATTTCAAGGCTAATTCACTGATCTGCCACATAAGACAGATATACTGTAGTACTACTGTGTCATGAATTTTTTGTGTTTTTACTAATGTACATATATGTATGTAATATAAATATATACATATATGTGTATATATATAGTGATTTAAATGTATATATGTATATACACATGTGTGTGCATATGTGTAAATATATATGTTTGTATATGTTTACACACACAAATATAAAATCATATAAGTGGGTGTAAAAGTCATGCATAATTATTTTACCATTTTCTACGCCATCTATTGAGGCAATGTGGATATTGCAGGGGAAAAGCAGAAGAATAATGATAATATAAATAAATTATGTAATCTGGAAAAGTTTGGTGTCCCAGATTAAAAAGCTGAACGGGCCACATCCGGCCCCCGGGCCTTAGTTTGCCCATGTTTGGGCTATCCTCTTCTTCTGAAAGATTGTCAATAGTAACTTAAATAAAGAATTTTTTTTGTCAGTCAAATGTATTTATTTAGAAATGAAATCTTCTTTACTTTTTCAATTTTTTTCGTGGACCTTGATTATCATAGAAGAAGCTTTCAGAGATGTTCCAAATGTTGAAGGTCCAGAGGAGACGTGACCTCTCTCTCTTTTTTCTCCTGCTCCCTCGTTCTCGTAGTGTCATCATCACCACGGTCCTCTACCTCTCCGACGCCCTGAGGAAAAACTTCCTCAGTGACAGCTTCGACTACAAGGTGAGTACTTTTACTGACATCGTACAGTTACACCGTTACATGTTGTTATGGAGCTGGAACCAGTTAAAATGTATTTGTGGTTGATTAATGAATTGATGAATGTATTTTTTTTTAAATCTATTCTAAGGTGTGGGACTCGTACTTCTGTCTGTCTGTAATCTTCATCAACCAACCCTGCCTACAACTGGAGTCCTTCTCTCCCTCCAAGAGGAAGAAGATACTGGAAAAGTAACACACACACACACACACACACACACATGTATTACCATGTGTGTAAAGAAGCTCCTCTAATGAACCTGACGTGCTCATTTCTAATCCCTTTGTTGCTATGCAGATATGGAGACATGAGGGTGATGATGGGCTGTGAGATCTTCAGCATGTGGCAGAACTTAGGTATGAATCTAAAAGTATATATAATTATATGATATCAAATTGCATTTGATTGACAGTTTGTGTGATGCACCGTCGTCATCAATTCAAGTAAAAAATAATTCAATATTTATAAAAAAAATGCTGAAAGAGCTTCAAACATGAAGAATCACCATGGTAACAGACTGATGACATATTTTATAATTATTCAGAATAGAATCACAAAATCGAGATGTTTTATTTATTTATTTTTTAAAAAAAAGACAAACTAGTTAAAGTTACTTTCTGAGCTCTTACTTTGGAAGAAATGAAGTCAACGACTTCTGCCCCGGTTGACAAATCCCCTCCAACAGCAACAATGCGTTTATTAAGGTTTTCAATGGGAGCTTAGCTCCGCTGCTAACCTCTGTCCTTCCATCAGGAGAACACAAGCTGAACTTTATCCCGACCATGATTGGTCCATTCCTGGAGGTGACCCTGGTGCCGCAGCCCGATTTGAGGAATGTCATGATCCCAATCTTCCATGACATGATGGACTGGGAGCAAAGACGAAGTGGCAATTTCAAACAGGTGCAGATGTTGGAACAAAACATGCTTTTGTTGGTTTAACTTTGTTAAAAGAGGCAAATAAAAATAAAAAAAAAAGAATATGCGATATTTACAGACAGAACAGTTAAGTAGTCAACCACTAGGTGGCAGCAGATGGCTATAAAATTAAAAAAAGAGAAAATAGTTGTGTGTATCTTTCTTCAATTCCTGTGAGTATATCAACTTAATGTTCAACTAAACAGACTACAGTTTCACAATAAGAAGGTCATTATATTTCTTTACAAACACCTTTTTTGTGACATATTTGTTTGATCGTGCGCTGCCGCTCCCTTCTGAGCTTCTACCAGGATTCATGTTTTTGTTTTTTGCCCTGACAGGTGGAGGCGAAGCTGATCGACAAACTGGACAGCCTGATGTCCGAGGGCAAAGGTGACGAGACGTACAGGGAGCTGTTCAACAGCATGTGAGTGATGAGAAGAGCGGCGTGTTTGCTCATTTACTCCACATTCAGGAGGATTTATGGGGTCAAATGCCAGGATGTTGTGACAGTCTGGCCGCTGGAGCCGGTACATGACTCAACTAAAATGAAAATGATAACAATTACTGCAGTGGCCTTTAACAGTGGGCTGACCCGGGATAGCGTCACACATGCAGTGACTGACAAATGACCTGTGTACGCCAGTCCAGAGATATAATGATGTGTTCCACAAGAGCTCATCAGATTAATGTTTGTGTGGGTCACGTCTCACACGCCTTTTCATTCTTGAACTGATGCGACTAAAGATGTTAGCTGCTGATAAACATAATTTATAATTTGTGAAACTTGTGGATTTTATAAAAATAATCAAATGAATATGAATAGGGAGCGTTGATATTTCTTGTGAAAACTATATACTAAATACGAAAATAATCAATTGAATATGAATAGGGAGCGTTGATATTTTCCGTTTACAGATTACTGCAAACTCACTGTGCAATTACAGCCATTGTATTCAGCATCTCAACACAGTGTAGTAGTGACTGTTGTAGCTAATGTTAGCCTAGCAGCTAAGCAGCTCAGCTAGCGAGCCAAATAAAGTCGCCTCATCGTCCATCACTGTTCACCAATTTTTTTTTTCTTCGCTAATGTAACTTAATGCCTTCGCATCTTTTTCTGGCTGCGACCTAGACCTTAGGTCCAATACTGCCACCTAATGGAGTCTGTGCATCAGTGTTACTGGTGTGCCCGAAACTAGGCAACCGAAGGTGCAATGAAATAATAATAATAATTATAATGCATAATCAAAATGACTGTGTTAAAGTGTCAGGCTTTATATACATATGAATTGATTATTTTTTTGTGTGAAGGTGTTGTTTAATATTTAACTTGAAGAAGCTAACTCAGTGCTAACCGCTATCCAACCAGAGTCACCACTTTCACCTTTCACCTCCTTCACGGCTCCTCCATGTCCACCTACTCCTTGTGTTTTTTTGTTTGTTTGTTTGTTTTTCTGCTTCTCCCTCTGTTTTCAGTCGTACTTGCTATTGCCAGCAGGTGTGTGTGTGTGTCAGTGTCTGTGTGTGTTGTGTCTTGTTGCTTATTGTCCAATGTAAAAAAAAACCCCAGAACAGGACATTTCAAGTGACCATCTGAGCTGTTGTGACATTGAAATGATCCATGCGGACAGTGAATGTGTCACCACTGTGGTCACAGTAACTCATCTCCTGTCCAGGCCTCTGTGTCTTTCATAGTCATTTTTCTCCACTAGTGAAAAGCTGTTAGTTAGTGGGTTTTAACCTTTACTAATGCCTGGTGTGAACTCCACAGTAGGATGTAATTATTCACCATAAGGCTGCTCATGTTTCCTTATCTAAATGCATTATTGATTCATAGCCCTGTTTGACACTAAAAAAAAAATATATGATTTTAATAATGGATGTACTTCTTACTAACTCTACTAACCCCAGTAGAAACCTGTGTGAGTGTGTGTGCTGATATTAATCTTATTAATATTAATTTATTCCGCCTATGCTTCCCGCCTGGAGTAGAATTCCTCTGTTTGGTCCCTACCCTAGGTAAGACGCTCTCCTCTCTGTTTTCTCAGTGTCGTCTGTGTGAAGGTCATTGTTGGTGTTCTCTGCTAGTTTTAATTAGACTGACAAGCAGTTGTTTAATTTAAAATGAGCTAATATCTAATTTTAAGTGTCTTTTTAAGGAAAGGCTAAAAAGCATAGGTGTGACTGGATTTTTTATTTTTTTTTCGCTTCGCCTGCTTCTCTTTTTGGTGCCTTTTTACTTTTTTTTTTTAATCTTTTTTTTTTTTTAAATATTTTTTCCAGTCACATCTCCTTCCGCCATTTTCTCGATTGTACGTTGTGTTGGTTTTTGGTCCTCACGTCTGCGTCTGTCTCTGTGTCTTCTTCATTTCGTCCTCCAGTCTGCTGAAAAAGATTGAGAGGGAGACGTGGAGGGAGAGCGGCATCTCTCTGATCGCCACCGTCACCCGCCTGATGGAGAGACTGTTGGACTACAGGTAGAAACACATCATCAGACCTCTGTTTTTTTTACTTTTACTGTGACATATTCTCACTTCTTTTACTGCTACATCTCAGGGACTGTATGAAGCTGGGAGAAGTGGATGGCAAGAAGATCGGATGTACTGTCAGCCTACTGGTGAGCAGCAGCTACTACAGTGTTTGTGTCTGTCTTCTTTCTTCAGTACAGGTCTTAGGAGTTGCTCTGTGTATGAATCTAATCTTTTTACTTCTTACTCAGTCAAAACAAGTGACAAAAAAGCGTTAAAAATTTTACAACAATGTTTATCACTCAACTATTCTTTAACCTCTTTATGGGGAAATAAAAACCACTTTTACTCGCCTGTTTAAGGAGCAACTATTTTGATCTCCTGCCCTCTGTCGGCTCTACCCTCCATGGGTTATCTGAGGCGCATTACTGCCATCCAGTGGTTCATTCTTAAATTAATCGCAGCCAAACAATTTCACTGAAGCTTATTTATTTATTTTTTAATTTTTTTTACCAGGTCAAGTTAATGTCATTTTTTACATCAAACTTTTTTTTATAAATATAATTTTTATTGTATTTTTTTATATCATTATTATGTAGATACTTTCTTTATGCAATATATATTTACTAATTTCACTGCTGGTGTAAATGAGCAGTACATGAACAGTTGAAAATCCAGAGCTTTATAGTTAATAGTTAACTTGACGTCAATTGTTAGCATTGTTTTTAGTATTTTAGTGAGAATTCTGCCAACTTGTGGCAGTGTATACCATGGAGTGACTTTGAAAATAAAACCTAAACATACATATATATATATAAATATATATGTATTGTTTTGAATAACTTTTCTAACGTCTCCTTTCTCTCTCAGAACTTCTACAAAACCGAGCTGAACAAAGAGGAGATGTACATCCGCTACATTCACAAACTGTACGACCTGCACTTGAAAGCACAAAACTACACAGGTGAGAATGAAGTGCGACCCCTTTTTTTTTTTTTTTTTCAACATTCCTATTCCCGACTGAGTCAGTTATTTAAGGAACAACTTCAGTCCTACCCCGGTGTGACGTGACTTTAAGGCCTTCGTTGTGTGTTTGTCGCAGAGGCGTCGTACACTCTGCTGCTGTACGACGAGCTGTTGGAGTGGTCCGACCGGCCGCTGAGGGAGTTCCTCAACTACCCCATGCAGAGCGAGTGGCAGAGAAAGGAGTTCCTCCATCACACCATCGTCCAGAACTTCGACAGGGGCAAGGTGAGCACCGGCACACACCTTTTTTTTTTAATATATCCGGCAGGGAAACATTTGTTGCTTCCGCTGCGTAGTGAGTGAGTGCAGATTTATTTCCAAGAAACACAGCGGTGATCATCAACTGGTGGCCCGTGGGCCGAATCCGGCCCATCCAACCACCGGATCCAGCCTTTGACTGGATTCCAAAATAAAGATCAAATAATAACGTTAGGCGTAAATGTGATTTTTATTTTATTTTATTTATTTGAGAAAAATTCTGACCCTTTGACAAATATAGTTGTTGACCCCTGAAGGACAGTACTAGTGTAAGACCTGATACTGTCCCTGTACTGTACTAGTGCTGTAGCAGCTGAAAATGTCCTGGAAAACCTCTGGACAAATATCCTTTCAAGTAAGGGTAAATGTCTCCATCCAGACTGAGGATGGTCGACGTGAAGCAGTGCCATCCCGTTACCATACATGTTATGTATAGTTTAAATTTTGCACAGTCACGCATTTAATTTTGCAGCTCGGGGGAGTTGGAGGGGGAGGGACTTCGGCAACTTTTTTTTCCCAATCAGATAAAACACGAACCGCAGGCTAAATGAAGCAGGATCCTTATCATCCTGCAGCATCCAGTGACATTCCCTTAGAGATATACCGTGGCTGAAGGTGTTGGCAATGACATGGAGCGGATTCATCAAGAAGATCCAGGAAGAAGCATCGTTTTTCAGGAATATATCCCTTTTCTACCTTTGCGTTGTTTTACTCTCTTGAGGGTAAAATGCATTCATGGACCTTCAAAATACATTCACAGCTCCATAAAAAAAAACGTGATCATCATCTCTGATGAAATATCACATCTCTGGAATCATTAAAATCCCTGTGGCCCTCGTTACTCATCGTCCAATATTTCTTCGCGTTCATGAGCGTTACCATCTGCCGATGCTGCCGAGCGGGAACAGCAGGCGTCGAAGAAGGACAGTCTATCTTTTAATTAGCGACACAGCCAGGTCCTGTGACTGTACCTGCAGAGAAAGGTTCTATCAATCATTCCCCACATTGTGAACTCTCCACTGCTATCTAGTGGATATAATGTAGTACAACAGCCCAGAAAAGAGCTGTAAATGGATTTGCGTACGATGTGTTGGTTGTAGATTTTTTTTAATATTGATTTTTTGTTGTTGTTGTTGTTGTTGTTGTTGTTGTTGTTGTTGACTGTATATGTGTGTGTTTGTATCTTCAGTGCTGGGAGAACGGCATCATCCTGTGCAGAGAGCTGGCCGATCAGTACGAATCCTACTACGACTACAGGAATTTGAGCAAGATGCGGGTAAGTCGCTCCAAAAGGAAGCTACGTGCTAGCAGGATAAATATTCCTTTTTTAAACAAACGTAAATGTCTAACTAATTATCCTGTCTCTTCCAGATGACAGAAGCCTCCCTCTATGACAAGATCATGGACCAGCAGAGACTGGAACCCGAGTTCTTCCGCGTCGGTTTTTATGGGAAAAAGTTTCCCTTCTTCCTACGGGTAAATGACTTCCCCCATAATGCCCATAGTGCGACGCGAGTGCCGAGCAGAACTCAATATTAATTTGGCCGTCTGTGGCGACGTATACAGGCCTGCATGAAGTAACAGCTTCCCTTATATAAGACTCCTCCACGGAGGTGACATTCAGCTGCTCTTACACTCACTGCCGTCTAATGATGTAACAGACTCTGACTGTCCTTGGTGGAGTTTGCGAACGAGGCTGCAGTTACAGCGCGCCTCCACTAGATGTCAAACTAACCCCACGCTGTCTTTTTCTGCCTCCTCCTCTCTCTCTTTCATCCTCTTCCTCTCTCTTCCTCCTTCTGCCGCCTCCTCCTCTCTTTCTTTCATCCTCTTCCTCTCTCTTCCTCTTCCTCCTCCTCCTCCTCCTCCTCCTCCTCTGCAGAATAAGGAGTTTGTGTGCCGCGGCCATGACTATGAGAGGCTCGAAGCGTTCCAGCAGCGGATGTTGAACGAGTTCCCCCACGCCATCGCCATGCAGCACGTCAACCTGCCAGATCAGACCATATACCAGGCTGATGCACAGTGTATCCTCAACCACTGGGAAGTCACAGTGTGTGTGTGTGTGTGTGCATGGCTGAGCAGATGCAGCAGAATCAGAATCAGTTTTATTGGCCAAGTGGGAAAGCACATTCAAGGAATTAGACTCTGGTAGAATTTGGGCGGAAAAAAAAATCATCACAGTTTGTACAAACACACACACACACACACTTACATTTCCATTCACAGCCTGATTTGTGTTCATATGAACACAATTTCCTGTAATGATGCATTGATTTCGTTCTTGACTTTGTTTTCCATTAACAAAGGCCCATTTTACAGTCTCTCACTCTCTCTCTCTCTCTCTCTCTCTCTCTCTCTCTCTCTCTCTCAGTCATTGCCCCCACACACACCACATTTACCTTTAACTTATTTGACTGTTAACTTTTATATCATTCAGTCAAAATCAGTATTTATATCTTTTATTTATTATTTATAACTACATTGACAAATAGAAAAATATTTGTCATAAAATACAATTATAAAACAAATATGTTAGACATATGATTAATTACATGCTAGCTGTTGATTAATCACCATAAATGAGGATGAATCATTCATCCGTTTCTTACTGGTTATTTACCTTTTGGGGTCACAGCGGGCGGCACTGAGGCCACTCGCTGGGCAGTGGTAGGTGTGTCAGTCCATCGCTTAATCATGGGATTAATCCTGATTCCGACTTTCCTAAAAATGTCAAAACCCTATGTTTCTGTGAAGTAATAAATATCAGCAGGTGATGATGGAATTAATTTATGAAAAACAAGACTCTGCAGTGAAACCAAAATGTTTCTTCAACAGTGTGTGCAAATGCATGAGTACCAACAGTGTGTTGGATCAAAGTGGGTGGATTGTGGAATTATTGGATGTTCAGTGGGCGTCATTCTGCCTTTGGTTAAAAATGCCTTAACAATATTCACACAAAAAAACCAAAAAAAAAACCACGGTTCATTTTTCACATCCCTTTGAACTCACGTATCAGCTGTAGTAGAGACAAAGACTGTGAATATGGACTGACCTTAATGTTATGTTAGTTACAGTATATCATGGGCCGGGTGGTAGTGCTGGTGGTGCTGCTGGTGGTGGTGCTGGTGGTGGTGGTGCTGGTGGTGGTGGTGGTGGTAGTGATGTAGGGTTGGAAGGGAGTCGACCTTGATTTTTACCTCAGGGTCCTGGAGGTGGACAGTAGAGGTGAGGGGGATGATGGGAGATCACAGTCAGTCACCCTGTCTGTAGAGTGAGTGATCGCTATAGATTAAACCTGGCTCTCAGGGTGACCTCTAGAGCCTGAAAGCAGTATTAACAGTTCAGTTATAGTTTTGTTGTAATTTACCTTTCAATCTGTTACCGTTCTGCTGCACAGACTCACACCGATCATCATCTACGTTATAAATGTAAAAGTGCAGCATCAATGGCACGTTAATGAATGGCTGCGATCTCTGTGCTTATTTTTAAACAAACCCACATCTTGTTTACCCATAAATCAAGTGGGTGCCTCACAGGAAGAACTACAGTATGTAAAATCATATTTATGGTTTTTTATTTCTCTCTCTCTCCTCCTGTGCAGTACTCAACTCCGTGCATACAGTGTCTTTAATTATTCACACTAATGAATGGGACAACTGTTGGCCTATATAGGAGGACAAGAAGAGGGAAAACAGAGAGAGGGGGGAAACGCAGACGCTCGCTGACTTGACGAGCTGGATATGAAAGGAATGTTTAGGTTCCTCTGTTTGTGCTTTTCACTGCGTCTGTTTGTGATTGGCCGACACGTGTCTGCGTGCATCTGCTCACCGCTGCCTCAGATTGCTCACCGATCTTGTGGCAAATACGAAGACATTTATATTCACTGTGTCTTTGCTTTGACTCAGGCTGAAAAAAAAAACCCAGTGGTGTCAAACCACAGATGTTTTCTACATTAAAATAAATATAAAATGAAATTTAAAATAATAATTTCAAGCAAAATGAGAATATTGTTATAAGCTGTAGGATATGTCACAAAATAAAAATGTAGTCCATTTGATTAGGATTGGATTTAGAGAAGTAAATTCGTGAGTTACCCATCATGCATTTGTTGCAAACACACAGAAGTTGACCATTGCGTTTAACCCCTAATCAGTTCACATCAGTACAGACCCTAAGAAAACCGTACAAATGTGCCGCTCCGGTGGGCCGCAAAAAATAACATGATGGGCCAGATTTGGCCCAAGGACCTTGGGTTTGGCACATGTGACTTAGCACAAAAAGTATTTTACAAGAAAAAAAAAAAAGATGACCTTAGAGTGTTCACACAGACACACACACAGAGCCTTCCTGTGAGACTGCTCCTCTTCCTCTGTGTGTGTGTATAATTGCTTCCCAGGAGTCACCCTGTTCTTTTAAGTCATTGGAGAATTGCCGTCCATTTCTGTCTCTAGTGCTTTTCCGTGTCACTCTCTCTCTCTCTCTCTCTCTCTCTCTCTCTTCCTCCCCCGTTGGCTTTTTTCCTTCCTTAACTCCCGGTGCCTCCAGACCTGCAGATCTACGCCGTGACGCCGATCCCAGAGAGTCAGGATGTGCTGCAGAGAGACGGAGTGCCAGACAACATCAAAAGCTTCTACAAGTTCAATCACATCTGGAGGTTCAGATACGACCGACCCTTTCACAAGGGCACCAAAGACAAGGAGAACGAGTTCAAGGTATGGGCTGGATGTGAGAGAAAATATGAATATAACCCCGGTACAAAGAAGTTTCCAGAAGAGCTGGTTACACCGCCTTAGAATGAGAGTATATCTCAAATACATTGTTCCGTAATCCACTTTAGAATCACTTATAAAACTAAAAGGGTTGGAGAATTGATATTGAACATATTTCAGTCACAACATCAGTGGCATCATACTCAGCTTTATTTACCGAGAATGAAAGGCACAAACGAGCAATTCGACTCCAGTTTTCCTGTCAATCTCCGAGACTTAAAAAAGAATAAATAAAATCGAGAAACGCATGAGAGACAGAAAAACACTACAGATGACAGGGCTGAAAACACAGAAAGAATAAATAATTTACCATAAAGTTAGCTTCCTTTTCCTTCCCTCTTTGTCAAACAACGAAAAGAATGAAGAAAACTCAAGACGAACATCTGTTTGTTGGTGTTTCTGACAGCGATAAGTTCGTACTTACAGGAACCTGGTGGTGAGAATTATCTTCTACTTCATCAGCAGTTGTCCTTCAGTTGGGATAAAAAATTATAAATTAGTGTCATCATCATATACAGGGTATGAAACTGGGCGGAAAAAAAAAGATGTAACCAGGGGAAATCAAATGGTGGAAACTGCTGCTGAATGTGCGTTAGATGATTCCATCAAATTTCTCAAGAACTTTATATATGTTCCTTTGCAGCAGTGGTTCTCAATTATTTTCTGT